TCCATCCACGTTGCTGCAAAAGACATGTGTTTCTCTTTTTTGGTTGCTGAGTAATATTCCATTGTATATGTGTACCACATCTTTCTAATCCAGTCATCTACTTTTGGGCATTTGGGCTGCTTCCATGTTTTTCCAATTGTAAATATACTTTTTCTAATCTTTTTTCTTTCTCTTGTGTAGCCACTAAAGCATCTTGTTTCATTTGCTTGGCTTAAGCATGGATTCGATGGAGACTTCCTTGAGTGTCTGGAAATAGACCAAAATACTCCATCGGCCTTTGCAGATTTGCTCTGTGTTGGGGCACTCCAAAACGTGTCTGTGCTTCTTGTTCAGTGCCTAGGGTCAGCCAGCGGTGAAAGCTCATGGTTTGTCCTTTTCAGAGCATGTGTGCAGTCTTGGGTCTGTGCACAGGCTGGTATTGTGCCACCTTTTCTGAGCTTTTATTGACTCAAGTCTCCTTCTCTGGCTTCTTAACTTCTGATCCATCAGTCTTGTGCCTGCCTCATTACTTTCCCTTGCCCCAGGAGACTGTAGCTAGTACTTTTACCTGTATTATGTGTTTGACCAATGCTACCTGGGAGGCTGCTTCAGCTCTGCGCAAGTACTAAGGCAGGTGAAGCAAAAGCAAGTCCCTGGGCCAATCCTTCAGGGAGCTGCCAGACTGTTCAAAAAATCATGATTCTTTGGGAACAAAGTTGGTATTGTTGCCTCTGCTGCTGGCAAACTGGCCAGGAGCAGAGTCTATTGTCTTTGTGGCCATGGCAAGCTGGGAAGTGAGTGATGGTGGGTGGGTAAGTTAAAATGACACACACCCTCTTGTCAAAATTCAGTGGCTTCTTTCTGGTGGTTAGAATTTTTTTTTTATTGGGTTCCAGAATTCTGAAAAGGTTGATTTCTGACAATTTTGGGCAGCTTTTTAGAGGAAGGACAGAGTTCTGGAGTTTCTTACTCCGCTAATTTTTGTAATGTCCCTCTCACTAAATCAATTCACAGTCATGATCACCTTCAGTATTTCTTCCCTTCCATATTCTTATGTTCTTCTGGCTTATGATGGAATTTCTCATTCCATATTCTATGTCTCAATTTCTCTCCCATTTCGTTTTCTCTCTCGTGCTAAATATTTTGGGTATTTCAAACCCATTCATTGACCATTTTATTTCAGTAACTACATGTTCAGTTCTAGACATTATATGATGTACTTTTAAAAAAGATCGGTCCTCATGTGATCATCTTAGGGCTTTATGTCTTTGATAATTTTATGTATTTACATAGTTCTTTTTAATGACTTACCATTGTTTTATATCATTTTTTTTGACAATGTAGAGTTTCTCCCCTCAAATGTGGTCACCATAGTTTCCCCCCCCCCACACAAGCACCCATAGTCCTCCACCACAGTCCACTGTGTTCTCCCCCTGGTCTCACCACCCCCTCCCCCCAACACTCCCTCTTCCCTTCTGGAAGCCTCAGATCTATGATTGGTTTTCAAGGGTCAGTTTCAAAGTTTATCTTTATCTGAGTCCTTGGTTTCTGTAGATTCCACATGTAAGTGAAATCATCAGGTGTTTATTTTTCTCTTTCTGGCTCATTTCTAGTAATTTACAATATATTCTTGTTTTCAGAGAGCTCTTCTATTCTTTCATATTCTAGGGTTCTAATTCCCCTTTATGTTTGCTGAGCCTTGGTTTTTAGTCACAGGTGTCTTTATAGTTTTGAACTTGAGTCTATTTGGTGAAGTCCCACCGACCCCTACCCACTCCAACCCCATAACCCACTCCCAAACCCATGGAAATCTCCTTATGCTTTGTGATTTCTGCACTGGTGTTGGTCAGGAGTTCCAAGGACTTCACCAGTGTATCATTAAGTCAGGGACCATTTTCACGCTAATTCCAAGACATGGTTTCTAGACAGCATAAGTTTCCTTGGAGTGATTATAGTAAGATGCACAGCAAATCTGTACAAAGTGAAGGCTTCATGTTTCTCCTTTGCAAGGGCTTGCTTTTTCTTTTCAGAGCTCAGCAGAGAGGAACACATTCTCTTGTTTTCCTTTTTAATTTTATTTTTACATCATTCTTCATTTTGTGTTTTTCCTGCCTTGATTGTAATCCCTGTGGACTTCCCACCACCAATTCACCTGTGCGCCATCACCATAGTCCTGTGTACTTTTCCCACCCCATTTTGATCCCATTCCCCACTCCACCCCCGTAAAATGTCTTTGGTATATAGTTGTTTAGTTTGTTTTATTCATTACAATTGCTTTTTTTCCTTCTTCCCCTGGTCCCTTACACTCCTGCTATTAGTGAAACCATCCAGTATTTTTCTTTTTCTTTCTGGCTTATTTCACTAAGCACAATCCCTTCTAGCTCCATCCATTCTGCTGCAAAAGGCATGAGCTTATCTTTTTGATAGCCGAGTAATATTCCACTGTGTATGTATATCTCTTGTTCTTCCTTGTAAGGGAATCATGTCTTCTCGACTGTTCCCTGGAACAGTCTCTGCAGGGTGCCGTCTCAAAGAGTGTTCTCAGATCTAACGCTCCACTCTGCTGAGACCAAGGTGTCACCTCCTAACTTGAGAGCATTGAACAGACCTGTGCTCCAGCTTCCTGGAATAGCACACCTTAAGGACCATCCCCACCTACACTTAGGCCACTTAGTTCATCACTGCTCCTGGCTTCTGAACCTGGCACATGTGTGCTGCCCTTTTGCCAGCTAGGTTATTGAATCAAAACAGTATTGGTTGCGCTTTCCCTGTGGGCTAAATTTAGGAAAGTCCAGCAGAAGCATGGGCAGAGCTCACTGGTTTCTCATCTTGCTGGAAGTGTGGCATCCCCTTGCCTGAGAACTTATCTTCTGCCTGTCTCTGTCCCAAAAGTCTTATTTGGTTTTGTTCTCCTTTCTTCCTATTCAGGGGTCCTCAAATACCCTACCCCCGACCTCCCGAGACCTACGGTCCCTGAACCCTAGGAAATCTTAACAGGGAGGCGGCAGAGAGTGTAGCTAGGGACTCAGACTTGACTGATGGCTGATTTGAATCCTTTCTCTGTCACTCACTGAGTTACAGGTGACAAGTTACTTGGCCATTCTGGGCCCATTTCATGTGTAAAGTGAGATGACTGAGGGCGAGCTGCAAAGGCACAATGCACTATGCGTTCGGGGTTTGGTGGGAGCTAGGTGGGTGTGCTCTGGACTGCAGAGGTGACGGGGCAGGGTTTCAAGTCCCTGACCCTCAGTCAGTGGCATGTCAGGCCCTCTATATTTAATTCTCAGAAATTACCACCGTCCTCACGTTAAAGAGGAAGACAGAGGGCGGGAGTATTTGAGTACCTTGCTCAGCACCATCCCATTCCGATGGACCACGGCTTCAAGCCTGATCGTCTTCTGGGCTTAACATCATGCAACAGCGCTGGACAGCTCAGGCTGCTCATGATGCGATTTACAAAAATTCTCATTTTTATGTTACTGCTTTCTAGGAAGACTGACGGTTTTCTTTGAATTCTGTGATAAGCTACCTCCAGGGGTGATCTCCCCAGTCAGGTGTGAGCTGGCAAGGGGGCTGGGAGGAACAGCTGGTTGCTGGCTACACCTCCCCGCCCCACCCTAAGGAGTGCAGGAACCTTCTTTGGCCACCTGGTAGTGAGACCCTGCACCCCCAAAACGGACTTCTGAGGAGCTTCATCTACCTGACTCTGCTGCCCCTGAAAGCGCTGAGCCCTCGTCTTAGGCACAACAAGGGAAGGTCTGACTGTCTCTCACTTCAGCTCCTTTTTGGGTGCTGTACACCCCTGCAAATGTGTGCCTCACCCGGGCACCCACACTGCTTACTTACAGAGATGGGCCACAGGATGAAAGGCAGGTATCTGTTGATGGCGAAGGTGTAGATGATGAAGAAGAAGCAGAAGATGGACAGCTCCATGGTAAGGATGAGCGTGATGATGGGGTGTATGGTGATCCCCGTGAACATTATCATCGCAGCTACCAGGCAGCCCTGCTGGGACACAGTGTCTGAGCCACAGAAGTGTCCTCCCACTCTGAGCCCCTGAACCTCCCCCCCCCTCCCGAGGGACATCAGTCCAACTCACTGCACTTAGGATCTTGACCTCTGCGTGTCCCATCACCCAGAATTCCTTATTGCTGTCTTTGAATTCCCACTTGTAGCGGCGACACCCTTTCCGTGTGCCCACTTGGTCTTTCGGCTGAAAAGATTTTGCCTTTTCCTTCTCTGGCTCCTTCTTCTCATCCTTCTTCTCGTCTTTCTTCTCATCCTTCTTCTCGCCCTTCTTCTCGTCTTTTTTCTCGTCTTTCTTCTCGTCTTTTTTCTCGTCTTTCTTCTCGCCCTTCTTCTCGTCCTTCTTCTCCTCCTTCTTCTCCTCCTTCTTCTCGCCCTTCTTCTCGTCCTTCGCGTCTTTTCCTTTGTCAGCCATCTTTACATGGGGGTTCTTATTTTCTCAACGGCCTGCCCAACACAGCCTGCTGACCCTGGACAGACCTGGCCTCTGAGGGAGCCTTGTGTCCACCGACCGTCTCAGGGGCTGTGCTCTGTCAACCGCCAAGGACCAGCGGATGCCAACGCCCGCACTTCCCTGGCGCGCGCCCAGGATCCCCGCGCGGCCTGGGGTCTCCGCGTTTGCGGGCCCCGGGTCTCACCGCGAGGACCCAGCAGGCCCATGTGTGTAGCAGCGCCCCCTATGGGCAGAACCCGGTCCGGGCCTTAGGAAAGCCTAGCACAGTGGCCAGAGGCTGCAGCCTCTTGCGCCTGTCTGGGGTTCCAGTTGGCTGGAACCCCTGAGGGATCGAGGGCCTCACCTCCAGGGCCCCCCTGTGACCTTCCCCAGCAACGCCCCGTAACCCGACGTTCACACGCGGCAACGCAAGCAGAAGTGCTCTCCATTTAGCAGTCCTGATTTTATCAGCAATGTGGGCCGAAATGGGTGACAACAGGTGTCGGGCGTGCAGGGGCGACAGGCACAGGCGCTTACACCTGCCCGGGAGGTCCCCGTGGGCCTCGCGAGGGTGCTTGCGAGGGTGTCCGCGAGGGTGGCACCGAGGTTACCGGAGTGGCCTCTTGGCTGGTTGCTCTGGATGCTGCGGGGGTGCTCGCCCGGGACGGGGCTGCCGAGCTGGCCCGGGACGGGGGCGCGGTGCTGACCTTGGATACCACCGACCCTATGGGGGTGGTTGCCCTGGACACCACCGGGGTGGCCTCGGCTAGCTTGGCCTCAAGTAGCCCCACTTTCCCAGTTTCTGCAGAAGGCATTTCCTGGCTTTTGAGTCCCAGGACTTTTTTCACTTTCAGCCTCAAATTCTTGGTGACCAGAATGGAGTCGATGAGACACAGGAAGGCTGCTGTGAGACACAGGATCTGTCAGATGAAAGACCAGGTGCAGGAGGGAAAGCGGGGTTATTTGGCAGCTCAGCAACTCATCATCCCTGTGCCCAACCTGGGTGGGGGCTGTGGCCACGCTTTGCGAGCTCTGACTGGCTACTTCCTTCCCACGTGTGTCCAGCTGACTGCTGCAGCCCCTTCTGCCTTTTCCAGAGTAAGGGAGTTTGGAAGTGGTAGGGTTTGCGGCCAGGAATGACCTTGCCCCATGCCTGAGGCAGGTCCTGGCAGCCCGAGGCAGGGGTGGAGGGCAGTGGAAAGACTCCAGGGCCATGTCTGAAAGGGCAGGCAGGAGTTCCCCAGAGGAACACCAGGTACTGAGCCTGCTCTCCAGGAATGGGGCTGAGGCCTCTGCAGCCAGCGTAAGAGGGAGCACATTGAGGCAGGGCGTGTGCAGGACCTGGGCTTTATCAAGAGGAGAGGCCACGTGGCAGATGAGGAGAGTCCACACAGGACCCACCTAGTGAATGGAAAATGGCTCAAGAGCGGCAGGGACACTGGGAAGGGTCTGCGGTCCTGCTGCTCTGGTAAAGACTGGTAAAGGCCACTGTGTGCTGGGCAAACCCCAGCAGCTTGGAGAAGGCTTGGTGGCTGAATTAGTAGCTGGCAACCAGTGGCCTCCAGGCGTCAAGCTTATAGGTGCGCTCTGTTCTTCCTGCCTTGGGTGTTTCTCTTTATGGTTAATTTTTATCTTTTTTTTTGAGTGGAAGAACTGGGGTGTACGCCAGAGGTTGGGTGTGGAGGGTGAGAGGATTCACCAGAAAGACAGTGGGGAGCAGAACAGGCAGATTGACTGACATCCACTGCTGGGGGGAGCAGCAGGATAGACAGGAGAGGTCTGCTGCACCGTGTGGGTCAGCTCCCTGGCTGGGGATCAAACTCAGGCCGCAGCAGAAATAGCGCTGAGACTTAACCCCTAGGGTACCTACTAGATAGGCCTCTTAATCTGTCTACTTTAATGAGATTTTTCTAGATTGGTCTTGTGCCAGCTAATGTGTGAGCTCCTCTGACAGAGGGGATTCCACCCCCAACACTGAGCTAGGGCTGCCACACCCCACGGGAGGTGGGGACAAATATGTACTGGCTATGGAATGAACTCAAACTGAACTCTTTTTTTTGGATTGATTTCTCTTTCTCGTATTTAAATGCTTAAAACAAAGTCTCACTCCTTCCCCCCACCCCAACCTCCCAAGCCTTTCCTCTGCCATTTCGTTTGTTCCAGTCTTGTGATCAGAGCACCTCAGTCCCTGTATCTGTTAAAACGAGAGTCCTAAGGGTGAAGCCAGAAGGTGCCTGGTGTCTTCCCTTCCGAACAGACCAGGCCACTCACTCGGACAACACTTGCCTTTCCTTTGTCTACTCTCATTCTTTTCATGTGCGTTTAAATAGAATTCTCTAGTCTAGAAAAATATATTGACAGGTGAAAACATCTTGTTGCAACATTTGAAAAATGTTGTAAGCTTCTCAAAAGGGGTTCAGCAGTCTTGCTTTTGTATTCTGCTAGAGAGTATCAGAATCAAAGTTTTCATGAGCGGAGAGTTTGCTCATGGTGACATCTGCTGATGAAGTCTGTGCAAGAGAGAAGGGGATGTGCTGGCAAAGTTGGTCTATAAATGGAATGATGAGGGTGTGCCGGTTTCTCTTTTCAAAGTCCTGAAAAGCTTTAAGGGGAGCCAAAGGCCTCTGCTTACCCCTCCCGTAGAGTACAGGTGTCTTCTGTTCAGCTCTTGCATGGCCACGGCGCCGACAAGAATAAGGAACACAGCTGTGATGAAGCTGTTGATTAGATCCTGTAACCCAGAATTGAAATCGTCACCTGTACATGAAATGGACTTTCGTAAAATAATGGCCCACATGGCACAGCAGACCTCTCCTGTCTCCCTACAGCTCCCCTCAGCAGTGCGCTTCAGTAGATCTGCCTGTTCTGCTCCCCACTCTGTCTCTGGTGAGTCCTCTCACCCCCCCCCCCCCCCCACACCTCTGGCTTATACCAGTTCTTATATGCATAAAAAAAACAAATCTTTAAGAAAACATTTAAATTAGTAATGAATGGGTGTCTTTTAA